TTATTAGAATCAAGGGACTATGGGGCACAAGCTATACCCGTATCTACCTCCTAAATGTTAACTCCTCATGTGAACTTGCAAAGAAGAGAACCACATGGATGGAACTTAAACAAATTATATGTAATGTTGAAGGGATTTGGTGTTTGACAAGAGCCTTTAATGCGGTTCAAAATGATAATGAAAGGGCTAGAAGAGGAGTTAGAACAATAGAAATAAAGGAGTTTGATGAGTTCATCATAGATGCAGGATTGTTGGATCTTTCTCTTATCGGGAGAAAATACACATGGTACCAACCAAATGGAGACTCTATGAGCAAATTGGACAGATTCTTAGTCACAGAAGAATTTTTACTTCAATGGGAGGATGTTAAACAATGGGGATTAAGAAGATCTATTTTCAACCACTGCCCTGTTCTTCTCAAGAACCAAAAAGTTGATTGGGGACCTAAACCCTTCAAGTTTTTTGATACATGGGTAGAGAAAAGGGGGTTAAGAATTGGTTAAAGAAGCTTGGACAAAGGATATTGTGAAAGGTTGGAAGGCATTTTGCTTAAAGGAAAAATTAAAGAAGACTAAAGTAGCATTGAAAGAATGGACTACTAATTACACAAAAGAAGTAGAGTGCAAGATATAGGATTTTATACAGACCATTGCACACCTTTACATCAAGAATGAATCATGTGGGCTCATTGGACAAAAGACATATGACAGGAAGGCGTGCTTCATTGAACTCTAGAAAACACATGAGAATAAAAGAAAGAATATGGCAACAAAAGACTAGGAAGAAATGGCTGCAAGAAGGAGATGCTAACACAAAGTTTTTCCACCAATGTGTAAAGTCTAGATGAAGAAAAAATGAGCTGAGCCTTATTCAAATTGGAGACAAGTTTTTCTCCGAGGCGACTGATCTAAAAGAGGGGGTTGCATCTTATTTCAAATCTTTATTCAAAGAGGATGAATGGCAGAGATCGATTCTATATGGAACCAATGGTAATCAAATCACCCAACAGCAAAGGGAATTACTTATAGCTCTTTTTTGAGAAGGAGAGATATGCGAAGCTCTTTGGGAATGTGATTATTCGAAGGCCTTAGGACCAGATGGATTTAATTTCAAATTTATCAGATAAACATGGGACATCATTTAGGAGGATGTAGTGGGCTTTGTGCAAGAATTTCAAAAGAACGAGAAGCTTAGTAAAGTTTGCAATGCATCATTCACAGTGCTCATTCCCAAAACAAAAAATCCACAACGCATTGAAGAATACAAACACATTTGTTTAATTAGGATCATGTACAAAAGAATTACTAAACTCCTTGCAAATGGATTGAGGATGATTTTAAATGACATCATTGGCAATCAACATATGGCATTCATTAAAGGTAAACAGCTTCTAGATTGTGTAATAATAGCGAATGAAGTGATTGATGAAGCAAGGAGAAAACAGAAGAGCTGCTCCTTAGTGGATTTCAAGAAGGCCTTTGACAAAGTTCAGTGAGGATTCCTTGACTCCTCAACAGTTTCAATTCTTGTTAATGGAAGTGCAACTAAATAATTTAGAGTAAAAAAGGGACTCCGACAAGGTAATCCACTGTCACCTCTTTTATTTTTTATTATTGCTAAGGGGCTTAACTAGATAATGAAATCTACTGTGCAACAAGGCCTGTTCTAAGGGGTTAAGATTGGAGGAGGAGGCTTATCCATCCCCTACTCGTAGTTTGCTGATAACACCATCCTATTTAGGGAAGCCACTGAAAGGAATGTCTGGCTAGCAAAGAGCATCATGGGAACATTTGAGCTTGTCTCTGGCCTTAAAATTAATTTCAATAAAAGCCACGTAATGGGTGTCAATGTGTAGCCAAATTGGTTAACAAAAATGGCATCGATGCTGAACTACAAAGAAGGTGTTGTACCATTTAAATATTTGGGCATGATGATTGGAGGCAACCTGAGAACACTTAGTTTATGGTAGCCCATTGTTAAGTCTTTCAAAAAAAAAAACTCTCTGCTTGGAAAGGGAAATATTTGTCTCTCGATGGAAGAATTACACTTCTTAACTCTGTGCTTTCATCTTTACATGTGTTCTCCATGTCTATCTTCCTCATCCCTAAAGGTGTTCTCTCTATCCTTGATAAACTTAAAAAAACAATTTTTATGGGGCGAGGGAAATGAGCAAAGGAAGATAAATTGGGTTAATTGGAAGGTTATGTGCAAAAAAAGAGAGGAAGAAGGCTTAGGTGTTAAGGATTTATGGACTTTTAACATGGCGTTACTAGGAAAATGGTGGCCGAAGCTAGCTAATTCAGAGGATAGCTTATGGAGAATGGTCATTGAGGAGAGATACAGCTGGAGGGATGGGAACTGGGGTAAACTGGTTAACTGAGGGTGGTGGAAAGGGATCTATATGGTGGAGAGATTTATGCAAACTAGTTAGGACTATCAGAGACACAAATGGTTGGCTAATAGGGAATTTTCATTTAGTTTTAGGTGAAGCGAAATCTGTCAAATTCTAAACAGATAACTGGCATGGAGAGGGGTGTTTAGCTAACAAATTTCCTATATTGTTTTCTCTATCTACAAGAAAACTTAACTACATTAACCAAATGGGTGAATGGAGGAACAGTAAATGGACCTAGAAGCTTTAGTGGAGATGTCACTTATACAGTTGGAAGGAGGACAAAGTAGCTGAACTTCAAGCAATTTTGGAAAGAAGGCAACCAAGACAAGGCCAAGCTTATATATGGCAGTGGAGCAATATAGCGAATGGGAAGTACACAGTGCAATCTGCATATTCATTGCTTAACTCCCATCAGCTTATGAAAAATAAAAGCTTATATAATAATATATGGAACCGATTAGTATCGTCCAAAGTTAGTGCCTTCAATTGGCAAGCAATGTCTGATACGATTCCATCTCGTTTTAACTTACTCATGTGTGGCGTGCTACATGATTTCAAAATAATCAATTCCACGTTGTGTGGATTGGAAGTAGAGGACACGCATCACTTGCTTTTGCACTGTAAAAAATCAACTGAACTTTGGACAAACTGTTGGAAGTGCTGGGGTGTCGCAAGTCTTCTTTCGAACCACTGTACAATGGCATATGAGCAACAACTCTCCCTCTTCAACAATAAGAAACTGTCAGCGAGATGGCAAGTGGTATAGGAAACAGGGGTATGGTCACTATGGTTGGCAAGGAATGAAATGATCTTCAATGGTAAGCCAACCGATCCATGGAAGCTCTTCGAACTCACTCAACCAAGATACTTTTTTGGATTAAGGCTACAGCAAGGAACTATTTCTTTACCTTTTTTTATTGGGCCTTGGCTCCATGTGAATGTGTGCAATAGCTCGCCTTGTAATCATTTTGTAACCATTTGGAGTATTACTTGTACTTTGACTCATTATTAATAAATTGTTGTTTTGCTGTTCAAAAAAAAAAAAAAACAATATATTATGTTATAAGTTTACAATATCATTTGACATTATAATTATATCATTTTTTATAAGAAAATTAGGCATTAGAAGCTTAGATATTCCTAGCAATTTATGTAAGTTTCTTTATAAGTTTCTCAATCTTGTTTTCTCAATGTGACCAAAAAATTGCCACTACGACCAACCAAAATAAGCCTTATTAGTTTTGGATTTTACTCCTATAGTGACAATTTTCTTATGTTTGCTACTCCCTATGTCTTAAATTATATGTCACTATAACTAACTTGCACATAAGCTAATTCTTTTATAATCGTATATGAATGATAATTGAAATTTTTTTTGTTTTAGTGTGTAATTCTTTTTTAGTAGTTCATTTGATCAAAAATATTTTTAATTACCATATGCTAGATAAAGGTAGCATTATCTAAAGTTATGTGCAAGTTCGTTATATAGTGATAGATTATTTGAGATTGAGGGAGTAATTTTTTTAATCTAAATTGCATTTGCATAATATTGTAAGCCATAGATAGCCTTTTAGCACGGTCGGAAAACCCTAGCCACCAAGCAACGAGTTTCTCCATCCAAGTCTCATCTTCTCCAGTGGAAGTCTCCCTTTCCCTTTTTCTTCCATCGATCCTCATTCCTCCTTTTCCGATCATCTAAAGGCCTAGTTTGTTGTGGGTGATTTGTTTGTCCACAAGAAGACAGCTTTCATCTGGATGGTGTGGTGTGTGGTGATAGAAGGCAAATTCCTCCTTGGTCCATTTGTCCTCTACTATCTTGGGTTCAAGGTTTCTGATTGGTGGTGGATTACTCGATTATGCAACAAACAGAGGCTGTTAGGATTGTTTCTAAACAATGTTGGGTATGGGTGTTAAAGGCATTGCCATCGAGAGGTTGAAGATTGGCACTAGTTTGCCAAAAAAGAAGGTGACAAGGTTGACTCTAATAATGAGGGAGATTAGGTTCATTCTTGGCCTAGCTTAATTATTTATGAATGCTTGGGAAGGAAGGCACATTCGTTTCCCATCAAGGTAATCACTCCATAATATGGTTAGGCTATCACTGGGTGGGGACTATTGTTAATCCAAGTACTTGTTGTCCCTAAGGAGTAGACAAATAAATGAAAATGTCTGGTAGCTCAAGATACTCATAATGATTATCTTTTTACATTAGTAGCACTATTTATGACCATACAATGATTGCTCATGTAATATCTAAGTACAAATTGCTGATTATACTTAATTGTCTATCTCTGTTATAGGTACAATTTAATTTTATACCTAATTATGTAGATTATCCTTTTATTTAAGATATAACTATTTTGATATAATAATTTAGATATAATCTTGACTTTGATTTCAATAAAATCTTTATTTCCATTAATAAAATTACATTTACATACACAAAAAAAAAAAAAAAGTTGTTTACTGTTCTGGAGTCAATCGTACTAAAAATGGAGAAAAAAATTTTTTTTAAAAAAAAGAAATAAATTCAAAGGCGAAACATGAGGTACAGGTGAAAAAGTTTAAAATTACAGGGCATAAGTGAAGTTTATTTACGTCTACCGACCCCTAAAAAAATCAGGTCACCAAAACCATTCCCGCGATCCGCGCCCCCCCGCCTTGCTTTCTCTTTTCTCTCCTTCCGCCGCCTACCGCAACCCTCCGCGCTCGGCTCTCCCGCTCCGCCGCTACCTTACTTTCAACAACCCAAGAGACACTCAGTAGAATCTCACTCTAACAAACCCTAGCCGACGATGAAGAATCGAGGATCGGAAGGTAGGGACAACATGGAGAGAACTAAGCCCAATGGTCCAAAATCGATCGATATGAAGAAGAAAAAGAAGAACATGCAGAGATTGGGAGGGGCTGGTCTTTCGCTCGAAGCATTTGCCAATGCAAAATCAACAAACAGTCACTATAATCCAGCCTTAATAAGTATTAATCTCGTTTCCCTTTACTTTTCATTCTTTTTTCTAATTGCTCAATTTTGAGAATTTCTGCCTTTTTTTTCTTCATATTTAGTATCTGTTTTTTTTCTTTTTAAAATTTGATATCGAGGAGCATAATAAACTTTTTCTTTTTTTGTATGGCTTCGTTAATTGTGGAGGATGAAATATGAATTCACTAGCTTTGGCATAATGTGGTTTTAATTCAAGTGGGAAAATTGAAAATTGCAATAATGTTGGGTTTTATTTGATATTAAGGGGCAAAATAATCTGGTTCTGGGTTTAGTTGAATTATGGTTTAAAAACTCTATAGATTGGAATGTTGACGTCTACACCATTTTTGTTATCCGATGTATTGTATAGGCATGTGATTTTGGAGATGTGTTCCCCTTAAATTTTTGTATGTGTTTAGTAGAATTGTAGTGTGTTAACTGGATGAATGAGATTCAGAGTTTTAAGAACTTGTTGATTCCCCTTTCTCTATTACTGTTTCTGGAACTGATCATCAGTCTCCTTGTTGATGGCTTTAAGTTTGTAAATCCATTTAAATTTGATGGTAATGGATGGTTCACTTCCGTGGGGATTAGGAGATGGAGGCTGTCCATTAGGGATAAAAGCACATCAGTTACAACTGTCTATCTGGTTCTTGAAAAGAATGGACCAAGCGGGTTAAAAGATGGGCAGTGATGAGATTTTTTTCCTTGAGCCTGAAATCCGTGTGTGATTATAAAAAGAGATGGAATGGAAGGAAATCAGAGTTTTACGTGTTTTTTCATTCCTCGTCCATTTCATAAGTTCTTTGTTTATTGGTATGTTTTTCTTTGTTATGCATCAGAGAAGCATAGGGAATTCTACAAGAATGCTAAATATGTTAGCAAGTACAAGAAGTCTCAAAAGCAACAAAATCAGCAGGGTGTTATTCCCTCCGCCAAAACAACCCAAGAGGTTAGTTACCATGTGAATGTACACTCTTTTTCTTAATTAACTTGCTTTAACTTTTTAAAAAAAATAATAATAAAAATAGTAACATAATTTGATACTTGCCATATTAAACTCAAAATTATGTTAGTAGCCATCATTATTTTGCTTTTCTTAACCAGATAGCATTACTGTATAAGTAATCAGTTCTCTTATTGGCTTAAAGAATACTGTGATAGCATAGGATTTGTAGTTTTAGAGGAGTGAGTGCAGGTTCAAGTCCCAAGTTCAAAACTACTATTAGGAAACCGCTCTTTGTAAAATTATTTATACCTTGTGATATTCTTGAAGATTAATAGTAACTTAGGAAGGTTTGAGATTATCAGATAGCAATTTGGACTAATCAGATGAATATGAATATTTGAATTATAACCAATCCTGCAATCTGCTGTCCAGGTTTGAACTGTTTATTCAAACGCCCCTTAATTGTATAAGAGGATCATTAGCAAACTTAAAATGCCACCAAATTTCTTGGAATAAACCAGTTCTTACCATTCCCAATCCCTTTTTGTTGGCAAGTTTCTCAAACATAATCTTTATGTATAATCTAAAGATTCTTACCATGTTGAGTGGAGTGTGCAGTATTCTGAGTCATAAGTTGATTGGGTTGTTATAGGATGATAATGAAGAGAAACATTGCAGTAAGTTGGATAAAAGGAACAAGAAAAAGAAGAAAGGTTCACATGGTTTGAAGGAATTGTATGAGAAGCAGCAGGAAGAGAAAGAGAAGGCAAGGCTTGAGAGGGAGGCAATCATTCAAGCAAAGAAGGAAGAAAGAGCAAGAGCTGAAGCTCAAAGGAAAGCAGCAAGGGAGAACATGTTAAAAAGAACACGGCATGGTCAACCAGTAATGAAATACAGAATCGAGCACCTCTTGCAGAGCATACAAAGTTCCAGCGGCAGCTCTGTTAACAAAAATACCTAAGTTACAGGCGTTGTATGCTATTGTACTGATATGGTGTCAAATGATAGCTAAGTCAGCCAACAAAACCTCCAAATTTGAGTATTTCTGAGTGTTGCAATGGCATCAACACTAGCTAAATGGAGCCTGACAAGTTTGTCCTTCTCTTATAGAAACTTACAAGGTTAGCAGCCCATTGTCTGCATTATTTACGCTGTTCTGTTACTTTGAAGTTGTAATTTGATACTTTTAACTGCCTTTTGTCTGTCATAAGGCTTTGGTTATTAATTGCAACTGGTTAATGCTCCACTCGCATTGGCTTGTATGTTATGTCATGTTTAGGAATTAATATTTGTACAAATCTTGAATTCATCCTCTGTAGGCTGCTGGAGTGCATCCAAAGAGTAGTTTATTGTCAATTTTCATTCTGATCATCAACAATACAAGCAGGAATCCCTGTGACAATTGCTTCCTGAAAAAACCTATCCAACCTTCTTTGTTAAACATAGGGCTGGGCATGGTATGGTACTCAAATGATGGTAACCGTTTTAAGTAGTTATGAAAAAGAGTTACCACTTCCATACCAATTGATGATTTTTTGGTAATGGTTGCCAACTATTTTTAATGGTAATGAAACTTGTTTTACCAATACCATACCATATTACCATTTTTAAACTTATTTTTTTCATTATCAATTAATT